GTTTTTAAATTACCAACTCATTTAGGGTTTTTATTATTAATATCTAGTTTTACCACATTGTGGCCAAAGAATGAGATCTGTTCTGTTTCCGCTTCTTTTCTAAATTATGTAAGTCTTTGGGCAAAATATATGGTCAATTTTTGTGGAGATTCCTGAACACCTGAAATGAAGATCTATGTTCTGTTTGTACACAGAGTTACATTTTTATCTATTAAATCAACCATACTAATATTTATTTAAACCTCTATAATCTTATGTGCTTTGTTTATATAATCTGTTAATGATTAAAAAAGAGGTTTTAAAATTTTCTCTAAATATGTGCTCATTTTCCCTTGACACGCTTTTTACATTACATATTTTAATAACATAATATTCAACAATTATGATAGATGTTCATTAATGATTGTACATCTCACAAATGAAAAGTAATCATTTTTGCCTTATTTAGAGTCTGTCTCAGGTATGTTTCCTAGATAAAACATTTAATTACAATAGTTTTTTGAGTCCTAGTCTGAGAAGCATTCCATATATATTGGTCAAAACTGTTTTATTTGGCCTTAAATTATTATATCTTATACTTTGTATTTTGTAACACCTTAACAAATGTTCTTTTGGGCTTTTTTTTTTTCTATGTTGCATACTTTCTCTAAAAATTTTTTGGCTTGGGGAGCCTGCCTGGCTCAGTCAGTAGAGCATGTGACACTTTTAATCTCAGGGTAATGAGTCCAAACCCCACGATGGGTGTGGAGCCTACTTAAAAAAAAAAATCGTCCTTGTGAATTAGAAATATGCATCCTGTTTTCAATTCTACCTTGAGGTCATTATTATGACAATTTAAAATGCAGTTAGACATCTATTTCTCCAATTTTCTGTGATTTTATACCTCCCCCGCTCAGTTGTTTTTACTTTTTTTAATATTATATATTTTCTTTCAAGTTCCATTTGTTCTAGTTGCCCCTCCACTAAATCCAATGGCCCAAAAACCATTCTTTCCACTGTGTTCTCAACATCTATTCCAGCTTTCTAACTTTTAATCTCTGTCCTTTCCCCCTGCAATCCGGGAAAGCTTATCAAGATTAACTTGCAGATTTTTTTTGAACAGGCATTAAGGAAGAGTTACCCAACCAGGGCCAAAATGAGTTCCCATGCTAGGACTGAGATAAATTTAGACCTCCTGGATCCACTGTTCAAGAGGAAATCCCAAACACTTCACCCTCTCTCCATTTCCTAACACTTGCTGCTGCAGCACCACTCCCTGCCTTGAGTTTCCCAGGACAAATCTCCTTCTGTCCTTTAATCCTGTTTACATTTATCACCATAGGAAGCTGTAGCTCTCTGTGTAGGCCCTTATCTCCCGACTGTTCCCTTACTATGCATCCTGGAATTCACAGCCCATCATCCGCAAAAACTCCCATAACCTCAAACTCTTCTCTGAAAGTCTCACTGTCAAGCTCTACTTGAAATTCAGCTATTCCCGGATTTCACAGCTCCCACTAGAACCTTCTCAAGGGGCAGCAGCTTTTTCCCAGAACCCTCATACAACTAGAGATAGAGTCAGTGTTCTTTCTCCATATTGCTGCTTCTAGGCCATTCTTTCTCATTCCTTCCTAAAATCTCCCAGCTCTGAATCTCATAAAATTAAACTACCCACTACCCTTTATTACTAACATACCAACCCCTGAGTTACTCCCTCCCATGTCCTTCTCACCAACATTGTCACGCTAACACTATTCTTGGCTTAATTTTTGCTGATTTCAATATACAGGTAGATAACCATATTAATCCCCTGGGCTCTCCATGGCTTGAACTCTTCTCCTCCAAAGATCTAATCCTCCACTGTTCAACCACTCATTGCCATGCTTTTAATGGACGTTTTACCATTACTATAATTTATAATCTCAACTTTACCCATCTTACTCTCCCCAGGTACACCTTTATACTCCAGTATAATTTTAATCCCACCAGGACATCTGCTTTTTTCCCTTTCCACTTCCCTTATCCCCTTGATGTCCTCCCTTTCCTAAGCCTTATCCAGCTTAAATGTCATGGTTCATCATGATAATTACTCCTATGCAAACAGATCTGACTTCCTTGCACCTCTCTTACTTCACTGTATTTGGCCTAACTACAACCTGGTTAATAACATCAACTCTCTTATGTACCTATGCAGTTGAATGTGGCTGCACAAAAACACACAACCACAAACTAATCTCACTTAAAATTCATGACTATGAATCTCAAGTGACCCTTTAAAATGCCCCAGGAAACATACTCTACTCCATTTATCCTCCCTTTCTACCACACAACTATTTCATACCTTCTTTTATCTCCTGAAATCCCCAACCGCTCCCCCCCTCAAAATCTTCATCTTTCAGCTGATGAACCTACTTCCTATTTCACTGACAAAACTGAACCACAGACTCCCACCATTACATCTATCCATTTCCAGCAGCCACATCCATTTATTCCTATTACTATAGATACCCTGAGCTCCATTAGAACAAACCCCTCCACTTGTGCTCCAGATCCCATGCCCTCTCACCCACTCAAGGTCAACTACAGCAATGTTTCTCTTTGTCCTAGATCACCAATTTTACCCCTCTACTAAATTAGTCCTATTAGCATACAAACCTGCTGGAATTTCTTCCATCTTGAAAAAAACTCTATCCTAACCATACTTCTTCCTTCATACTTGGCTCTTCCCGCAGATATCCACACAGCTTTCTACTCATCTCCTTCAAGTAGTTAGTCTAACATCACCTCAAAGGAACTTACCCTGACAATACGAATTTAAAATTGCAACCTAACCTCTACCATCACCACCACCACCACCACTTGGCCCTCCCAATCTTCCAATCCTGCTCTATTTTATTTTCCATAGCACTTACCACCTTCTAATGTTCTATATTATTGATATATTTATTACATTACTAGTTTGTCTTCCCCCATTAAAATGTAAACTCCATTAAGGGCAAGTCTTTATCTTTATTTAGGCAAATGCCTAAAACAAAGTCTAGCACCAAGTCAGCACTCAATAAATACTTTGTAAGGGGCACCCGGGTGGCACAGTTGGTTAAGCGTCTGACTCTTGGTTTTAGCTCAGGTCGTGATCTCAGGGTCTTGAGATGGAGCCCTGAGTCAGGCTCTGTGCTCAGTGCAGTCTGCTTAAGTTTCTCTCTCCATCTCCCTCTGCCCCTGCCCCCCACTCGCACATGTGCAAGCTCTCTCTCCCTCAAATAAAAAAAAACTTAAAAAAATAAAATTAAAAAAATGAATGAATAAATAAATACTTGATAAATGAATGAATAAAGTATGGGTCCATTCTTCACTGCCTCTTACACCACTTTAAATTCTACCATAGCACTGCTTAAGGACATTCCTTTCCTAACTCTGCATGCCACTGTTTTCATCTTAGTCTCCTGTCTTATCTCATGGTTGATTATTCATTTCTTGTTCCCTCAATTCATGTCTTCCTCAACTTCACTCCCAGCCAAACCAAATGCTAAATTTACTTCCCCCTCCTACAGGAACTCTTTTAGAAACATAAGACTTTTCTTGTGAATATAATTACTTTTTTCATTAGTATAGTTTTTTTTTTTTAATGAACACTGTTCTAATTCTTCCATATCTATTTTTCAGCCTAGTAATTGCTCAGAAACAGGTAAATCCTGCAGCAAACTCTGCTGGAGTGCTTCCCTTTACACCACGATTTAATTAGAATTGTACTTTCAGATCTGAAGATAAAGAGCTGGCTAACAGCAGTTTTTATTATTCTTTCCTTGCTCCGGGAACTTGAGGGAGGTAGGAAAGGAAATGAACACTTGGGGCTGTGGATATTCCCAGTATGAAATCTTCATCTGTGGTTGGAAAAGATGAACATCTTCCACATCTAATTCTTTCTCTAGCTCAGCTTCTACTCACATATACATTGTGTATGTCTAGCTTTCTACTTAGCATTACTGCCTACTAAATTAGGAAGGAACCTTGTTCCCTTACGACAAATCCTCACTAAAAAGAAGCCCAACGACTAAGTGGTGTTGTTCACCTGTATACCCTCTATTGTAATTCCTTTTGAACCCTGGCAAAGGAAGGGGTTCTAAGATCGCAGGCTCTTGACCCAGACTTCTTGACTTCAAATCCCAACCTCACCACTTACTTTGATGTGTAACCTCACTTTCTTTATCCTTAACTAGAGATATCCACATCTCATCAGGTTGCTGAGCATTAAAGATTAATGCATTTTAAGTGCTTAGAACAGTGCCTAATACATAAATAACATTCAATAAATGTTAACTCTTCCTCCTCCTCTTTGTCTTGCCTCTCACCTTTATCTATAAAAGTAGAGATGTTAGTAGAACTATGTCAAGATTTCTTCTATTTACAGTGACAATTAAGCACTTTCTCAAGAAAGGATTTATGAGTAAATGCTTCATATAGTCTTTCAATCTAATCCAACCTCCACTACATCTAATAGAAACCCTTTCCTACTTCCTAATTCAGATGTAAATTCTTCCATGTTCTTATACTCTTTTGGTGTGTCAATTTGCACAAGAGTGTAACTCCATACCTGTGCCTACACAAATATTTTTCTTAAAGCTCTCTGGAATCATTTATTTAATTAAAAAACCAACTTCTCATTGCTGTATCATGTAATTCATTTCAGAGAAGCCAGGAATAATTTTTCAACATAGACATGAGAACATCACAGAGTTTAAGAAACACTGATCTAGGATATCACGTTAGGAAGAATGAAAAGAGGGGCGCCTGGGTGGCTCAGTCGTTAAGTGTCGGCCTTCGGCTCAGGTCATGATCCCAGGGTCCTGGGATCGAGCCCCACATCGGGCTCCCTGCTCCGCAGGAGGCCTGCTTCTCCCTCTCCCACTCCCCCCTGCTTGCGTTCCCTTTCTCACTGCGTCTCTCTCTGTGAAATAAATAAATAAAATCTTAAAAAAAAAAAAAAAAGAACAAGAAGAACAAGAAGAAAGAATTCAGTTACTCACGATGCTCCTGAATTCATGATGCAGCTCTTCGCTCCACAAAAACAATCTCTGCCATCATCATGATTCATTCCAAGGTTATGACCCAACTCATGAGCAACAATGGATGCAAACGTCTCCACTGTGATTTGCCCAAACTGCCCAAACACAGGAAAGTATTAATTAGGTTTCTGAACAAAAAGGATATGTTTATTATTTTTTCCACAAAAGGAAATTAATCACTATAATGGTGACAGTCTTCATGACAAATCAAGCATCCAACATCAGTCTTCATACATTTCACTAGGAAACTGATACGACATGGGGATAGATCCTTTAAGCAACAGACCAATTACTTTAGCACTAATAAGTTATTTGCAATGATTTATAGGAAAACAGATTCATGGTTCCAATTTAATTTTCTTAAATGGGGTTTCAACTTCCTTGTCCATAAAAAGTGAGGAGCTAATAAACACATAATATTAGAAAACTTAATCCAGTCTCTAAAGAAAAAACACATCTACCACTTCTACCTAAAATACTGTTTTAAGGACTAAGGGAGGAAGTATGCGATCAAATCCTTGACACTGTCCTGACACAAACGTCCAAAGTTAAATATCAAGAACAAAAACGTACCACGTTAATCCCGCCTGCGTGGCTCCTTGAACATACTGTTCCCACAAATGCCATTCCTGCAGTCCCGCCAAAACCTTTCTTCCTAAATGAAAATACAAGGTCAAAGTTAGTAAATGAACTTGGGGCGGTGAAAGGAACACACTGCTCTTATTTCTTTGGGTAAGCTTAAACTGGGCTGGTAGAACCTACAAAAACTGGGAGAAAAATGGCAAAGATAAATGATATCTTAAAATCAGAATACAATTAAGTCTTATTTCTTTTTTATTCTCAGAGAATGAGATTAATAACACAAATTCATTTTTCAGACAAATGAAGGTATGTTTTAGATACCAAGCCAAGTTTTTTTTCCTACCCTCTAGATGAAAAATCTTCCTAAAATGTATTATATTTACTTATTCAAAAATTCTAATGAGGAGAGACAGGTAACACACTCAATGAACATAACACACATAGGAGGCTGCAAAGCAGGGAGCACAGGGGACATAAGAACCAAATGGCCTCCATATGGTTCCCAATCATCCCTGACACACTTGTATCTCAAGACCTATTTTCTCCACCTGGAACTCTTTTGCCCAGTAAATACTCCTAACTGATTCCCTCACCTCCTTCAAGTCTTTACTCACAAGTCTTCTCTTTGAGAGGCCTTCCCTCACCATGCCAACCTGACTCCTCCAATACTTTTTTTTCTTGGCAGGTGCCCCACTATTTATAGAAAAGAAAAATATAATAATAACAACACAGTGTACTTAAAATGTTCTATAAGCCTTCACAAGTGCCTTACAAAAATAATCTCATTTGATCCTGAAACCCTACTAGAGAAAAATTATTGGGCCCACTGAACAGATTAAGAAACTGAGGCCCCGGGAAGTTGTATCTTCAGCTGTTAGGTCACCAAGCTGTGGTCTGACATAATGCTATCTGATTCCACATTTACCACCCTCAATGGCTATACCATCCTGGCCCTTTCTCCCCTGTAGCCAGGTAACCACATTCTAATTAGGCAGAAATGCAAGAAAAGAAATCTCTCTTCATGTCACCAGAAGCTGAGCCTACAGTGCAACAAAAACTGTAGCTACTAAGTTTCTTTTTTTTTTTAAGATTTTATTTATTTATTTGACACAGCGATAGAGAGCATAAGTAGGCAGAGCGGCAGACAGAGGGAGAAGCAGACTCCCCGCTGAGCAGGGAGCCCGATGCGGGGCTCGATCCCAGGACCCTGGGACCACAACCCGAGCTGAAGGCAGACGTTTAACTGACCGAGCCACCCAGGCGCCCTGGCTACTAAGTTTCTTTAAACATTTCCTGGACTCTGAGTCAGAATATGAGCTTCACTGGTTGTAACCTTAACCTTCCTGAGAAACATGTACCTACAGGAAAATGAGGTACTTATTCCTTCACATGATGATAGAAAATTAGAACCCAAGACACTGTATTGTATATCTAGTTCCATTATCACAAATTTATAGATGACAGAGGCCACGTGACATGCCCAAGCTCATGATGGTTCTTTCTGTACCAGTCTCCACTAGCAAGCCAAGGCAGGCGACTCCTTCAGATGAGAAAGGCAGATGCCCCGCCCTTGGCCTTACATGGCTAAACCAAAGGCAAGGAAATGGTGAATTCAGCCTTATGCATCATCTCAGGCAGTGCTTTTCAAACTATCTAGAGGGAAGGGCCAGTAATTTTTTCTTTAATTTCCAATTCATTGCAGACCAATACGTCTTCATTTTCCCATTTTTTTAATTGAAATCATTGATATATTAATTTCAGACGTACAATACAGTAATCGGATAATTATATACATTATGAAATGCTCACCACCATAAGTATAGTTACATTCTTCCTAAACTTTTACTTCTACCCTCCCTGCTCTATTTTTCCTCCTTACCACTTATTAGTATTTAGTGTATTATACACATTCATTTATCTCATTTACGGCTAATCTCCTCTATCAGAATATGGACTCCATGAAGGCAAGAATTTTCATGTGGACAAACACAGTACAATTGTATGAGTTCCCTTACAGAAAATTCTAGAAAATGGAAATTAACCCACATTAACAGAAAAAAAGATTAGTGGTTGTTTGGGGAAGGAATAGGAATTTTTTTTTTGGAGCGAAGAGGAGATTGGATTACAAAAGGGCCTAGAGGGAATGGGTATGTTTGTTATCTTGATCATGATGATCGTTTCATGGCTATATACGTATGTCAAAACTCTTCCAAATGGACACTTTAAATATGTGCAGCTTAGGGGCACCTGGGTGGTTCAGCCTTCAGCTCAGGTCATGATCCCAGGGTCCTGGGATCGAGCCCCGCATCATCGGGCTCCCTGCTCAGTGGGAAGCCTGCTTCTCCCTCTCACACTCTCCTTGCTTGTGTTCCCTCTCTCGCTGTCAAATAAATAAATAAAATCTTTATAAATAAATAAATATATGCAGTTTAATCTTCATCCGTCACACCTCAATAAACCTGCTTAAAAATTTAAAACATTTTAAAAATAGAGAATTTTTGTCTTCTTTATTCATTGCTATCCCCAGTGCCTAGGGTATACACCTAATAAATATATTATAAATGAATGAATGAATCTTTCTCTGGGGCATCTGACCAGCAAGGAGAAGAGGACCAGAGATACTGACATAAGGGGATTGCCAAGGAAACACTTTAGCCAGATCACCCTCTACTTAATGCCATAGTCCCCAGGCCCTACTCATGTACTCAATGCTTTGAAAAGGCTCTTTAGTACCCCATTCTTAACCAAAAACACAACCAGGGGTCATTAGACAGACATTTGGGAAATGCCTCTACATGACAAGTGGATACAGACAGAAAAGACAAAGACAGCTTGGTAGGTTTGGTTGCGCAAGGCATGAGAAATGTGCTAGATGCCTGTCCCTTCTGGCCCTTTGTGAACTAGAAGGTAACGTGCTCACTGGCAGGAGGATACCTGCAGGTGTAATTTTACTAAAAATTCATAAAAAGGGCTATAAAAATCCACTTTGCCATTTTCACTGCCTTGCTTTAAATTAACTCACATAACAAAAGAAAACAAAAGAAAATCAAGGGTGAGGGGAATGGCCAGCATTCCCTGTGTGGATGGATGAAAGATGACTCCAAACTTCGCTGTGAAAGAGAAGAGAAAGCAAGGGGGTCAACGCTCAGAGACAAGACCCTTTGCTCTTCTTTGCTCCTGCCTTTATTGGTCCTTCAGGAGAATCATAAATCTTTATCACTCTTTCTCAAGCATGTGATGTGTGACAAGGGGTTTTGCTGGAACTAGGAGGATCTGTTTACGGGAAAGATACGATATGCTAATCTGCCTGTTCTACGAGTTCTGCTAAACATAGCCTAAGGGACAATGCATACATCTCTTAGATCCCAGGGTGGCTGTTTGGGCTAAAAAGCTTCGGGGAACTCCCAGAGGCATTCCTACAGCAGAGTGGTCACGGCAGAGTGGTCATGCAGGCCCCAGCAGTCCAAAGGCCGAGGCCCTTCTCTGAAACCTTCTCTGCCTCCAGCGGCCTCTGTGTTACATTTTAGCAAGCCAGGTATTATGGATGATTTCATGCTCTACATTAACATCAACACAAGGGAAATTTTTCCTCAGAAAAAAATTAAGAGTTTTAGGGGCGCGTGGGTGGCTCAGTCGTTAAGCGTCTGCCTTCAGCCCAGGTCATGATCCCGGGTGGGATCCAGGCCCGCATCGGGCTCCCTGCTCAGTGGGAAGCCTGCTTCTCCCTCTCCCACTCTCCCTGCTTGTGTTCCCTCTCTCACTGTGTCTCTCTCTGTCAAATAAATAAATAAAATCTTAAAAAAAAAAAAATTATGAGTTTTAGGTACCATCAACACTGAGGGAGGCAAAAATATATAAATTAGAACATTTTTCTGCAAAAAGCCAGCCTATCAAGTCAGAAGACTTTGGTGGGGGGGGATAAAGAGGAGCAATACCTTTATTGCTTTGCCAAGCAAAGGAGGCTGCAGCAGGCTAAGGCTTTCAAAACTGCAATCCCTCAAGCCAGAAAACTTTTAAGAAGGATGAAATGTTTCAAATAGTTTTAAATGAGGATTTTGCTGTAAGTTTTGAACTGTATTCGTATTAAGAGATTTATATAAGTTTAGGTTTTATTATAGTACCATGGAAATGCTATGTAAAATTTTAAAAACATCTATCATCAAGTTCCCAAAGAGAATAAAAAAATTATTATATCCATGAAATCAGAACATGATTATATAAATTAAGGGGACAAAAAGATCTACAGAATGTTAAAATAAGATTGCAGAAATAGAAAACTCAATAGAAAGCTTAGAAGAGGAATTTAAGGAAATAATATTCCAGAAAGTAGAACAAAAAGACAAAAAGAAAGGAGATGAACGATAACAAAATTAGAGGATAAGCACAAGAAAACTCAACGGCCAACAAAATAAAAGGAACCCCAGAAGGAATGGCGAACAAAAATAAAGAGGATCAAGTCATCTACAAAATAATTAGAAAAAAATTCCTAAAACTGCAGGACATCAGTTTCAAGACTGAAGTTACCCATGAAGAACACAACACAATGAGTGATAAAAGACCTACACTGAAGCATATCATCAGGACAATTCAGAAGCCTGGGGACCAAGAGAAGATCCTCGAAGTTTCCAGAGAAGGAGGAAAACAAACAAACCCACAAAGGATCAGGAATCAGAAAGGCTTAAGGCTTCTCAACAATAATACAGGAAGTCAAAAGAAAGGGCCATGCCTTCAAAATTCTGAAGGAAAAAGACTTCATGCCTCGAATTTTACACACAGCCAAATAATCAAAAAAGTTACAAAACAAATTGTAAAGCACACCTCTGAAAAACTGAGTCACTTAGGCCCTAGGATAATCAGAGGTCACACGGATGTAATTTTTAAATTCTATTCTGAGACGGTAAAGCACATTTTCTGACATGCAAGGGTCAAAATTTTTTCTTTCCATATATTCTTTCACAAAAAGAAACTAGAAAACATGCCATACCAAGGTAAGGGAGTAAAACCCAAGAAAGAGGAAGGACATGGAATAAAGGTGACAGGGAATCCAACACAGAAGAGAAGTCTCATTATCATACTGTGACTTGTGGGGTATCATACAAAGCTCTCCTTATTCAGACGAATGCTCAAAAACCTTAAGAAAACATGATTCTAATAAAAGAAAATAAGCAAAAGTTACTGTTCTGATCATTTCATTAATAGCACTTTTCTTAAAATCACTTACAAAACTAGCTGGGCACTGTCATGTCTCCGACGTGTTATGAGAAACTTTTCCCGCCACTGTACAAAGTTCCCCAACACATCACCAGCACCTCCAATTATGTTGATCAGGTTTCCATTTGTCCAAATCTCTAGTCCAACTAGCACAATTCGAATATTCAACATAATATACATCTAGGAAGAAAACAAATAAATGTCTATAAAATATATTAAAGAATACGAGACTATCTTTCAACTTATGACAAAGTAACATGACTACTTGAAATAAAAACAGGACTCCTCCCCTCCAAAAAATACATTTCATTCAATATAATGAGACTCTAACCTCTTAAGAGTCTCAGTGTCCTCATCCACAAAATAAAAGTAATAGAAGTTCAAAATTGTTTTTATCTTCCATTCCAAAATCTGACAAACTGAAAATTTTAAGTTTTTGGTAAATTTGGCTTCCAAATTGCCCTAAACTAATGTAAATCTATTTTTGGTCCGTATGTATCTCACTTAATGTAAATACTCATACATTTCACTATAGGAATATCAGTGAGTTTGATTACAAAGAGCTACCAGAAGATCCTGTTATGCAATACATGGTGAACCATATTACCTTTCTAAACTTTGACCTAAAATTCTAATTACACATACCCCAAAGGTTTCAGATAATGCACTATGGAACTCATTTTTATTTCATAGAGATACTGTGAAGAATAAATGACAATAAATGTAAAGCACTTGGCTCAGTTTCTAGCCTATTATAAATGCTCAAGAGAATGCTATTGTCCTCATCATTATTATTATGCTTAATATTCACAACAGGGAAATACCTTATAGATGAAATTATCTTATAAGAACATGCATCTAACTCTTCAGTATCTCCTACTGGATGAATGAACTACAAAGTCTCAAACCAAATTTCTCTCTCTCTCCCTCCCTCTTGCTCTCCCTCTGGCGCTCTCTCACTCACTCACACAAACACACACACACACACACACACACACACTGTCATATCATGGTTTCAGAGTAGGAGGCAGCCTTCATCAAAGTAAGATTGAGTAAAAATTCAAAGATCTTTTCATAAGTGCCAAAGTTCCTTACCCTTTCTACACTGAAGATAAAATAGATGCTGATATGAAATCTCTTACTTGTCTCAGTCTTTCTACAGCTATATATTCCTTTCAAACATAAAAAATGTTACAAAACAAACTAGAAAACAGACCCCTGAAAGACTGAGTCCCTAGGATAATCAGAACTCAAAATGAGACAATTTTTAAATTCTGCTCTGAGACTATGAAAAGACAGGCTAGAATAATCCCAGTTAATAGAGAATACAACTCACACTATCCAAGTAGTTTGCTAAACGGATCATCTCCTCTCTCACTGCGGTCTGATTTCTTCCCATCATGTCATACTGAAAAGTAAGAAAGGAAAATCATTTTCACCAAAGTCATTTATGAAAAAAATTTCTAAAATCTGTTATAATGAAGATAAGAATCCCAAATATTTCCTCTGAACTAAAAATGGAGGCATTTAGACACTCACCTGCCTTTCAAATTAACAAATCTAAAGGATACATTTCAGTGATAAATAGGAGTAAGAAAAACAGGTTCAAGTGTGAAATGGATAATAAGGAAAACACTGAAGTCTTTATTTGCTCCAAATTAGCATAATTTTAAAAGTAATTCTCTTTAATGTTCTTTTTATTCATTTTAATGCAAAAATGTTTTCGAACAGTTTATACAGGTAGTGTTCAAAACAATCAAAATGCACAGATATAGGAATAAAAACAATCTAACAGATTTCCTGACCCTTTCATCCCTTAGGCTAAAGACATTACCAATAAACAATTTCTAAACTCTGGGCTAAATTAATGAGAGATTAACCAATGTTCACCAACAGACATTATATGTAGACAAAATAGATATTTAAAAGTTTAAGTATATTAAAACAAACAGTTGATATGACTGATTATTTTCTTCAAGACCTGGCTAAATCTAAATGTCCATTTTAACATTATTTTAATACAACCAACTAAATAACTAATGAAAAGAATATTTTAAAAAGAATGTATGGTTTTGCTCTAAGATAAGAGCATTAATATCAGAATATATCAGATCTTTTATCAGTCAGGCATTTTATCATGATACTCCTAACAAACAAAAAAATTTAATGTATCTGATAAGGTTTGATTAAAATGGAATCATTCTTATTTTGAACCATTTTCCACCAGTACATAACGAATCTATCTGGAGAGAGTAATCAATAAAAACATTTCAAATCTCTATTTTTGACTTGTCCAAACATTCTCCAGAAACTTTTTATCCATTATCAGGGTAAGGTTCATGCTTGGTCATACTCCCTGCGCTTTTTCCTTCTACCACTTGAGGGTAATGAACCTATAATGAACAAATCTGAATACATTTCTATCTGTTAATAAATACAGGTTGTTTATTTCCAACCTATACACAATAAGGGATTTTTTTTTAACCATAAAAATCCTCTAAACGGTCTCTGCTGCTTATAAGAAAGGAACTGCCAATATTGCTAAGTTTCTACAAACAACTTTTTCACACAAACAACAAAGCTGAAGTAAAAGTCAGACAAAATATTTCAAATAATCTATATGTTAAATTATATAACAGCTGTATCTAAAACTGATAACCCTGTAAATGCTGAAATAGACCCATTACTTTTCTTAGCTAAGTTAAGCACAATTCTTAAATATGAATAAGGAAAATCCCTGGTGTTATCCTGGACACAGAAATTAATAGTAAATGCTAAAATCAACTATTCTCCTCTATTCCCTTCTAAAGCATGCCACGACCCAGAAGTTTCTGCGTCTTATAGTGAAGTATATGTAAGTTAGCTGAAATTCTAAAAAGCAAAGCAATTTCATTAGGCAACAAAGCAGTATCTGATTAGCTGATTTTTCATCACAGTCCTTTAAAGTCATCTGAAAAGGTGACCCTAACTGAAGGGCAATGAAGAAATTATGCATAAGCAAATCACCCAAAAGAACGGGGGGTAGTGGGGGGAATCACCAGTAAAAAATAGTTAGAGGTATTCTCATTTGCTATGTTCAGCTTCTGGTGGGGTTATGAACATCAAGCATGTTTAAAAGAAAAAAGCCATTTTAGTTTTAAAATTACATTTAAGAAAAATGAATACAAATATATTATATTTTATGTTTCCTTCATGGGATGCTCACTTCTCATCTGCTTTTCATGAAAAAGAAGAAAAACTGTCACCAATCCTACCCTTTCCTTGTCTACGACAATGAACAGCTCCACATATCGGGTCTGTGGCAGGACAGCTCTTCTTCTCTGTCAAAAAAACAAACATCATAAAGGGGGAAAAAAAAGTTATAAGACTACATGTTTAAAAAAAAACAAAAACTACATGTGTTCCATAGGTAGCGACCTTACCCTCATCTCTAATCTCTTATTTCAGGTCTGCAAAGAACATGATAAAATTATTTTTCACACATATCAATAAAGCCAAAAACATTTTATTTTCTAAAAAAGTGCTATCTGCTCTCTGTACTAGTCTGAGAAAAATTCTAGTTAATGATAATATGAGGTATTCAAATTTCCAAAGCAGAATTACTGATTTTCTAATATCAAAACTACACATACTCACACACACTCTAATGGGAAACCCCACTACTACGTTAAAAGTGGAAAAATGAAGGTAATAATTATAATATTACAAGAATATAATAACCCAGAGCAGAAGTGAGGACAAGGTTGCTGCTTCAAAAAATGACTAGTTCTGTGATTTTCAGAAATTCATATAAAGTATAGAATTTGACAAAAATTTAAAAGTTTCAATGATTAAAGTTAAAAAAGAACAGTCCAACAGGGGCACCTGGGTGGCTCAGTCGTTAAGCGTCTGCCTTTAGCTCAGGTCACGATCCCAGTGTCCTGGGATCGAGCCCCGCGTCGGGCTCCCTGCTTGGCGGGAAGCCTGCTTCTCCCTCTCCCACTCCCCCTACTTGTGTTCCCTCTCTCACTCTGTCAAATAAATAAAATTTAAAAAAAATAAAAAAAAGAACAGTCCAACAGTCAAAAGAGTGCACAGCGAGAGGCAATGAAAATAATGCCATAAACTCGTATGAAAATATACTAGAAGAGGCACATGTTTCTTCCAACACAGCAGTATCTTGTAGAAAGGCACAGTGCCCACAACTAAAGTTGACCTGTTCCTAGAAACATTTCAGTCTAAGAGCCCCATGTCATGAGTAAGCAGGGAATCCTAATGAAGACTCAAAATAGGGATACAAGTGTTCCTGGAAGACATCTGAAGTAATTAAAGTCTTAACTCTCAATTGCTCTCTCTTTCTCTGATCTAGTGCTCAAAAATCACTATTCTTGTTTGTGTAAAAGGTATCTAAATAAAAAAATTGTACTGCTCTCTGAAAGACAATATAATGGACTATTATGCAACAGTAATAAAAAGAAATATAAGTTTTTAAGATTTAAGCCCTGATTCTAAAACATACAGAAGCTTGACTGCATTCAACTTGGTGGCAGGAACTGCATCTTTTTATCCCCTAGTACCTATCAAAATGTCTGGCACATAGTTGGCAAAGCCATAACAATAATAAGTATTGGTTTAATGCATAAATACATGATTTTTAACACTTTAGTCTGAGCCATGAAGAAATATATTTCCTTACTCGAAGTAGCTGAGTGATGCTAGGAGGCTCTTCCTCCTCATAGTTTGTTTCTTTCTCCATATCCTTGCTGGAAACCCCACATTTCAGAGGCTCTTTGTGGACATCTTCCATTCGATAAAAGATGTGCTCAAAACGAGAGCTGTTTTGCAGGGGTTCAATCCCGTAACTCACATTCTCTATATGCAGCAATCCTCTAAGCATCGCATTACACATACACAATTTTTAAGAATGAAGAAAATAATACACAGGAAAAGGAATCAGAAAACCTGAATTCAAATCCTAGTTCTTAACACGTATAAGAAAGGGTAGTATGGTATAGAGAAAAATACTAGGTTTTAGAGTCATGCAGACGTAAATTTAAAACTCAAGACTGCTACTTACTAACATCACTCCCTAAAAGTCAGTTAACCTCTCCAAGTGACTGCTGTATGTATAATGGAAGGCCATTCAGAACAGTGGCTAAAAGTATGGAGTCTAGAGCCAGAGAACCAGCACTGGAATCCCAAATGTTTCCTCCTAGCTGTGGGACTCTCAGCAATGACTTAACCTCTACCTTACTTTATTCTACATGGGGTTGTTCTGAAAACTAAATTATTATATAAATGCGAAATACTCAGTACATGCCCTGGCACACAGTAACTGCTCCGTGTTACTACTTAAATGGAGATAATTATAGCCATCTTATACAGCTGGTTTGAGAATTAAAATAATATTTATTACTTCAATCAGTCACATAACCAACGAGCCAGCACACAGCATCATATTGCCAGGCCTTCGGTAAATATAATTTTAATATTATTATCACTTTACTTGATATGTGGTACAATTTCTCTGAACCTCAGTTTGCTCATCACCTAAATATGGAGAGAGCGAGCCCCTTTTCACAGGTATTATGAGACTTAGATGAAAGAAGATAGGTGAAAATTTTATAGAGTGCTACAGAAATTAAAAGTATGCTTTTTTAAATAGCAAAAATTACTTAGCAGTCTCAAATCAACAAAATTTTCTCTTTAGATATTGAAACTCACCAACTGTAATATTTTCTTAAATAAATATGTCAAGAATGATACCCGATACATAGCTCTAAAGATCTTCAGCAATTACCAAAGTAAAATCTAATTTGGTTAAGTCCCTCAAAATGACTTGATTTAGAAACAAAGATAGGTAAAACGGTAAGAAATAGAAGAAAGAAAAAAAAAGGTGACACAGAAAATTCCTTACCTGAGTCCAAAACAGTCGCTAAGAGCAATGGATGAATTATAAACTCCCTCCACATAGCCCCGATAATGACAATGATTCTAAACGATAAAAACTGTATTATCTTCAAATACTGTTACATGGCTATAATTCATCACAGAAATTACAGAGCTAACAAAATTATTTAAGGTCAGTAAACTAATAATTTTGTTTATATCACTGGCATCTTATAATATCAATGGCATTCTTTGGACTATCTATTACGACCCTACAAGTACAACTGTTTAGGCAGAATTCCAGAGGATACTAAGTACAAACAGCTCTACCCCAATAACCTTTAAGCCTAGAAGCAGAACAAGACAGCATTATGTCATGTTTAACATCTTAGATCACAGTCATCCAAGAAGCAACAGCAACCAACTGACATTTAACACAGCAGGGGATCCTGTGACAAGCTAATGATGCCAAGAGGGAAGAAAAAAAGAGTATGTGGCAAAAAGTAATTTTGATCCCATGATTTTCTTTTCTTCATATATTTATATTAATTTTATTATTATTAGTTTTACATTTAGCCATCTTAAAAAATAAAAGAGGCTTTATCCTTAATTTTGAACAACAAATTGGCCATTGGAAATACAAGCATATTATCACTAATGTCAGATTTTTTACTATACAATGAGATTTTCTCCTTTTAAAACCATTTCAAAGCACTAAAAAAAAGCCAAGGTCATGGGGAGGGGGCTGTTGGGGAGACTAGCCCTACCAGACATTAAGACATATCACAAGGCCTTAATAATTAAAATAGTATGGTACCAGTGGTGAATTGAGAGAACCACCAGTGGAACAGAATTTAGGGACTTGAAATAGACCAAAGTACATATGGAACTGGGACAAGGATTTTTGAAATAAATGGAGCTCAGTCCACTGGTTAGACATTTGGAAAAGGATAAAATTAGATCCATACCTCACATCATACATCAGAATAAAATCTAAATGAATCAACAATCTAAACATAAAAAATAAAAACCATACAAGAACTAAAAGAAAATATGGGTGAATTCCTCTCTAACCTGGGTGTAGAGAAAGGCTATCACTCAAAATATATATGCAATAAAAGAAAAAAATGATAATTTTTACTACATAAAAAGTTTTTCAAATTTCTACATGGAAAGAAACACCAAAAAACAAAATCAAACACAATATACAGATTGGGAAAAAAATATGTGTAACTTGTATCACAGCTAGAAGACTAACATCCCTAACTATAAAGAACTCTTAAACATCAAAGGGGAAAGCTTAAAAACTCAATAGAGGAGAGGAAGAAGTAAAACTGTCACTATCTGCAGATGACATAATATTATATATAGAAAACCCTAAAGACTCCACCAAAAAACTGTTAGAACTAATAAATGAATTCAATAAAGTTGCAGGAAACAAAATCAATACACAGAAATCTGTTGTTATATCCACTCATAATGAACTAGCAAAAAGAAAAATTAAGAAAACAATCTCATTTACAATTGCATCAAAAGAATAAAGTACCCAGATATAAATTTAACAAAGGAGGAAAGACCTATATACAGAAAATGATAAGACATTAATGAAAGAAACTGAAGAAGATACAAATAAGCAGAAAGATAATCCATGATCATAGATTGGAAGAACAAATATTGTTAAAATGTCTAGACTAGCGGCGCCTGGTTGGCTCAGTCATTAAGCGTCTGCCTTCAACTCAGGTCATGATCTCAGGGTCCTGGGATCGAGCCCCGCATCGGGCTCCCTGCTCAGCAGGAAGCCTGCTTCTCCCTCTCCCACTCCCTTGCTTGTGTTCCCTTTCTCACTCTCTCTCTCTGTCAAATAAATAAATAAAATCTTTAAAAAAAAAATGTCTAGACTAACCAAAGCAATCTACAGATTCAATGCAATCCTATCAAAATTCCAAGGGCATTTTTTACAGAAATGGAACAAAAAATCTAAAATTTGTCTGGAATCACAAAAAGCACTACAGAGAATAAAGACACTTCTTTCTCTTCTTGAGAAAGAAAAACAAAGCTAGAGGCATCGTGCTCCCTAATCTCAAACTATACTACAAAGCTATGGCAATCAAAACAGTATGGTGTTGGCATAAAAACAGACACACAGATCAATGGAACAGAACAGAGAGCCCAGAAGTAAACCCACACCTACATGGTCAGTTAACTTCTGACAAAGGAGCCAAGAATATACCAGTCTCTTCAATGAATGGTACTGAGACAACTGGATAGAAAAGAATGAAACTGGACCACCATCTTATACCATACATAAAAATTAACACAAAATTAGATTAAAGACAGCATAGCAACTATAGTTAACAATACTGTACTGCATATATGGAAGTTGCTAAGAGATTAATCTTAAAAGTTCTCATCACATGCACAAAAAAATATTTTAACTATGTATAACAGATATTAATGAGACTTACTGTGGCGATCATTTCACAATATACACAAATATCAAATCATTATGATGTACACCTGAAGCTAATGCAGTATAATACATGTCAATTATACCTCAATTAAAAAAAAAACTGTTAGAGGAACAGCAACAAAAAAACCCAGTGGCAAATAGGGCAAAGGACACAAACAGGCAATTCACAAAAGAACATAAAAATGCCCTCACATATATGAAGATTTTCAATCTCACTCATGAAAAAGTAAGAATCGTGAGTCTACACTGACATAAATAATTAAAATTAAGAAAGGAAAACTTTTCCTTGCAGAAGGCACTAATGCATAGAGAAGCACTAATGAAATTCGGAAATCACCATTTTAACCACCATCATAATACCCATTAATTCAGGAAACTAGTAAATACTAACACTAGTGGGTAAAAATGTGAGAAGTAACAGGATATTTATATTAGTCTCAAAATGTCTAACCATAATATTCGTTACAAAGGCAAAAAAAACATTAACTGAACAGAGGAGAAACAGGGCAAACAATTCCTTAACTAAATGATCAAAGTTAACACTATCAGCAACAACACTTAACCACAGCACATGCTTCTTGATAGGATACACTGAGAACCACTCGGGATCACTTTGGTGGTATTCCTGCCAAAACTACATAACCTGAATCTGATCACGGGTAAACATCAATCTCAAATTGCAGGACATTCTACAAAAGTTGGCCCGTACTTCCCAAAAATGCCAGTGTCATGAAATACAAGGGAAGACAAAGGATTCCCAGACTAAAGGAAACTACAGAGACATAACTACCGAATGCAGCACATGAACTTGGATTTTCTTTTGCCATAAAGTACATTACTGGGATGATGGACCAAAAAAATCTATATCAATAAGATCTGTAAATTAGATAATAGTATTGCTTCAACGTTACCTTCCTAATTTTGAAAACTGTACTTGATTACATACAAGAATTCCTTGTTTGGGGGGGAAATTTACACTGAAGTGTTTAAGGGTAAAGGGATACCATATCTGCAATATACTCTAAAAGGTTCAGAAAAAAAAATAGAGAAGAAAGAATAAAGGAAATGAAGTAAAATGTTAACATTTGGAGAATCTAGGTGAAGGGGATGCATGAATGTTTTATATTATTCATGCAATGTTTCCTATAAGTCTAAAGTGGTGAAAATTTAAATAAATAAATAAATAAATAAATAAGCAAGAAAGAAATTCTATACTAAAAATACAGGCTCAATTTCAACATTTACAACTTTTTCTAGTGTGGGGCAGTTCACAACCACTTATGTTTTTCTTTCTAGTGCTTTGTGTTAAAGTCTACCTTTGATATTGCCTTCTTCTCACTAGAGGAAAATAAATACCTTCTACTATTACCAATGAGGTAGCACTTATGAGATAATAATACTTGTACCTCCTGGCCCTCCAAAATTACATGTTTCTAGTTTCAATTATAGTAGAAAGCTATCTTATTTGACATGACTGAAATCCAGCACTTGGTCATTGAATCTATCAACTTGATGGTATTTTTTTAAATGACTTGGTTTTATTAAATCTTTCCAAAGCCTTCAATGCACTTTAAAAAAACAACAAATCATATTTCATAAGTTCATAAAACATCTAATTAAACTGTGTGATTACAGTAAAGGCACAAATGCCACAGTTTTGGAAACACGCAAACTATGAGCAAAAAACTCAACTAGGGAGGGAAATATACACAGAACTCTGAGAGGGAAATGCCTAGGGCAGCCAATATAGTTTTCGGATGAAAAAAAGAGTATTAATTAATTAGGGAACTTAGTGAAGACACTGGCTGATGCATTTGCAAGGTACTCCAAAGTTCTGACACAAAGTAATTTGGGGTTTTACTTCACACAGTAACTTGTATAAAGTGGTTATTAAAGCTTAGTTTTTTTGTGTGTGAAAAATGGCCTTTGTGAAGGACACTCATGATAAAAACCAAGTAATAGCTTTACAAATTACTTTAATCTTAAATAATAGATCATAAGGGAAAGCATTTAAATTTTCTCAGTGTAATTTCATTGTATTTTATAAACAAAAGTAATGTCATTATGATATCTGGCAATCTAGCCATATGCCAAAAATTCCCAGTACCAAAGTTTTAATTGGTGTCTCAAATTTACAGACATACTTTCTTCTATCTGAACAATATTCAATAACCAAGAAACAAGTAAAAGACTTCATCTGTCTTAGTTTATATTTTTCAATCACCCAGGAAAGCATAATTCCATCATAGTACTTGAAAATAACAGCTGCATAAATTTCTATGACCAAAATCTATTTTTAACAGTTTTAAGCATATATATATTCAATAATAACAAATAATAATATTTATTGAGTTAAAAATGGTTAGGCTATCTGTTCTAAGTATCTTACTCATTTAATGGAGATACAATGTACAGCATAAGGAACATAATTAATAATATGTAACAACTTCATATGGTGACAGATGGGAGCTAGATTTGTCATGGTGATCACATCACAACATATATAAATGTTGAATCACTATGTTGTACACCTAAAACAAATACAATATTGTATGTCAATTACACTTCAATTTAAAAAAAAAGTATTAACTCCTTTAAGCCTTCTAGTAACTCCTCGAAGCTGTAATTATTCCCATTTTAAGGTGAAGACAGTAAGGTGCAGACAAGTTAAAGTAACGTGACCAGCAAATAAATGACAGAGCCAGGATTAAGTCCAAACAATGTGTATCTCCAAAACCTACACCATGAAACTTCTCCCAAGGGGAGAAAAACAAAAACAACCCTTTACGATCACTGCTTTTGTCAAGTGGCTTAAATTACATGGTCTTTGGCTTCATGGCATAGTAATCTCTGGATAAATAATTGAATGGTTAGATGAACAGAGAAGATGGGTTATTTGTGATCTGGTTTATGCTGTCATATATGTTTAAGCTGCTCTACTAGTTTGCTATTAAACAATGGACAAATAAGACACTAAAATAAAGGAATCAGAAAAGAGTAAGACTAAGTCAGTGTATCCTTATTTTTTTTAAGTACTAGTAATTAATCTAAAATAAAGGTTTGCCTTCTATTTATTGGAAGAGTGCTGCAGAAGTGCCTAACTAACATAAACAATTCAACCTAGCCAAAGATTACGAAGCTCAGGAGAAAAATAACACATGTTTAATTGGAACAAAGACTTCTCATGGACACTAATGCAAAAGAAAAAAATATAGAATACCTAACTGCCAAAAAGGACTGTAAAAACACTCTTCCCAAATGACACTGGAAATGTTTATGCTCTAATTTATTAACACAGAAAGCCAAATTCAGCAACTGCCAATTATTTCAAGTATTCCCGGCCAGTTTTGTCCTCAGGAATACTCTGTTCTCTGATGCACAGAGGGCCACATTTCTTCAGAAAAGAACTGTTTTTAGTAAAAACTTAGGACATACAAGTGTTTTTTCTTTACTAAGAACTAATGGCAAGTTAAATGGTTTAATAAGGAAGTAAGATGTGCTTTCAGAGATACTTTCAGCAAAAAAAAAAATTTTTAAACCTATGTTAAAATATATCAAACATTCCCCCTTCATAAGCAGTAAGGATTACCATTAAATAGAAGATTCTTTTCCTGGACTTAAAAAAAAAAAAAAAACACCTGACTACCGAGTACCTGGAGAACTGTAAAATACAGTCTAGTCCATGTAAAGGCACCCACCACCCACCCCCTTCCTGGGACAACTCCAGGTATCAAAATGTCAAGAGTGGCCCTTGGTGACGGTGCAATATACAGTCTTGTGTATGGGAAAAAGAACTCATTTTAAAATTATAATTATTTTAAATTTGCTATAAGATCAAGAGGAAAATATATTACCTGTACATCAGGATGGTCAGAGATCAGAGCCCCTTCCTTGTTGTAGGTATAAACTACAAAATCTCGGGGCAAAAGGTCACTGAAAGAGGAATAAAACACATCATTTAAAATTATTCTAATCTATATACAACTAAGAACACAACTCACAAGGCAGTACTCCTAGAAGAGATAAGCAGGAATAAAAACTTTACCTGACAAATCATTATTTAAAGAGGGAACTACTATAAAACAAAAAGCTCATGAATTGAATTAAATCTGAAATCGTGTGCACTGCTTCCTCATAAAAAATGCGGGGCTGCATATTTATTCTAATGGTCATAAAACTCTGGTTGCAAAAAACATAAGTAATGTCTTTAAATTTTTCTAATACATCTCATAGGAAAGGTGCAAATAAGGTTATACAGTACATCATATTTCCAGAAAAAAAGTAAGTGCTTTTACTCTTTCCTAAAAGTCCTATATAAACAAGAAGCACTCACTGCTTTAACCTGGTAAGTACAGAGGCAAAATCTGTGTCAGCTGGAGGAGACAATTACTGCTGATTCCTGAAGCTCCCTTGCGCGTTAAGGGAGCTCAGTACTGTAAACCTTATGTGGAAAGACAGGGTTATCTTCATTAAAGGAAAAAAAACTATTCAGTGACACTTGTTAAAGATGGTGGGGGCGGGAGGGGGAGAACACCTGGGTGGCTCAGTCATTAAGGGTATGCCTTTGGCTCAGGTCATGATCCCAGGGTCCTGGGATCGAGCCCCGCATCGGGCTCCCTCCTCCGCGGGAAGCCTGCTTCTCCCTCTCCCACTCCCCCTGCTTGTGTTCCCTCTCTCGCTGTGTCTCTCTCTGTCAAATAAATAAATAAAATCTTAAAAAAAAAAAAAAAAGATGGTCAGGGGGACTTTACTCAGCTCCACTGTGATAGGTATAGGAACCACAGCAATGGCATTTTACAGTGAGGGAGTGCTAAGGATCAACTCCAAATACAGCATGGACAAGTGGGAATTTATAGCCAAAGGGCAAGGTATCGGGGATCAGCGGATAGAAAATTACTAATTGGAAATATCAGCATTGAGGGGCAGTGTGGCTAAACTAACAGATTCTCACTGAAGACAGGCCAGGGTGATCAGAAATCACCTGGAGGGTGGTAAAGGATGAGGAACATGATCACATGTCCAGAGGGATCAGAAATGGGGTAGGCGGGGAGAAGTTCTTACTAAAACCAGATTTTACAGGAAGTGCACCAATGCACCTAGAAGGTTCAATAGCCTGAATAAGTGTGGTCTGTTTGTCAGTCTCCCCTCTTGTTTAAGAAAAGAAGAGACATCCTTCTTTCCTCTGAACAATATAAATCCGTTTTTCTGTCTGGATGCCTTTAGTTCATTAAGATCAGCTGAATCATTTATTGGAACTTGGTAGTAAAGGACATTTGCTGGATGCGGCTAGCAGTCAGGCATTTAATGAGGACAGCTGCTATGAAAATAAAAGAAAAACAAAGATTAATAGTTAGAAACCCAGATTCTGAGTCCAGTGGGTAGCACTCAAAGTTTTAGATTTGAAGTTCTTGAAGCATGGTAGAGGCCATCTTACAGATCTTCCTGGTTGGCAGTTTGAATGTCTCTGGTGATGGCATCAGGCGTTTCTGGTAAACTTTCTGAATGGGCCATACAGCAGGAGGCAGGAAGGTTGCCCATACATGATCTGTTGTGGTAAAAAAAAATTTTTTCTTTGGAGTTTATATCAATTTTCCAGCTTCAGCTTGCAGAACTTCAGGAAAAGGGTGGTCTTAATTCTCAATGATTCCAAGTCAGAAGGAAGAAAAATTGGAAATGTTAATTTGGAGAATTGTAGCCAGCTATTGGAGGAAACTAGACGATTTCAGAATTTGGGAAAAACTGGCAAAATGAGGAGCGCCTGGGTGGCTCAGTCGGTTGAGTCTATGACTCTTGGTTTTGGTTCAGGTCGTGATCTCAGGGTCGGGAGATCGAGCCCCATGTCAGGCTCCGCACTCAGTGCAGAGGCTGCTTGAGACTCTCTCTTTCCCTCTGCCCCTCCCCTGCTCACACACGCTCACTCTACCTCTCTCTAAAATAAATAAATAAATAAATAAATCTTTAAAACAAAAACAAAAACCTGGCAAAATGTACAAGATGAGCCAGCAAGGGTACGCTGTAGTTTTCTACTGCAACAAAAAAAATTTCTCTCTACAGTCACCCTCATTTCTGTCAAAGATAATCAAAGCAAGACTAATCTGTTTGCAAAGTAAGTCTAGTCTCATTAAACCTGGTCTGATTATTTACATAAGTGCAGCAAAAATAGTGACTGACTGCATAGGCCCTGGTTTGAGTTTGATTTGCTGGAAGATTTCATAAGTAATCTCAGATTGGACTTTTAAAAGCCTCTCAGGGCTGGGAAAGCCACATGAAGAACTCACCACTAGATTTTTTTTGCCTGTGGTGCTTACAGACATAGGAGAATTCCACTCTTCTCAAGGTTCTCAAAATACCCTGAGGTGCCTGGACCTGCCAGAAATGACCTTCCTTACTCACCTATAAGGCAGGAAACCCTGTAAGCCAGGTACAGGCTAGTTTTTTCCAAGGGGTGTGGTTTATGAACATTGGCTCCTCAAAGTCAACCTTAGTTCCTTAAAGCTGTCTGGTCATATCTGATCTGACGCATATCATTCTCAAATATGACATTCCAGACAAAAACCCTGGTGATATGACTAAGGTTCCATTGCATCCTGTTACAGGAGAACAGATTTTCACTGAACTTACATAAATAACTATACTGCCATGAAAATAAGAACACTAAGAGCTTCCAGTTTCTAGAGGGCTCAGGTAGGAAGGAAAGATCAGTGCTTCAGCTGTTTACAAAGGTATAAATTACAAATTGCTGTAAGTTACATTTAGCTTAAGAAAAGAGAAAAGGTTTTCCTTAAATTTGGAGAAAAAAATTAAAGAACTAGCAACATTTCAAACAAAAACTTATAAAAAATTTTAATCCTCTTCATCAGTTCATTCAGGTCCACATAATTAAGTCTTGTTTTACTTAATCCTGGGTTAACAGTTCTTATGAATCCATCAGTTTCTTCATTAGTTCTGGAAATTCTTACACAATCAAATGGCAAGGTCTCAAAGTTTTCAAGTGATGCCATCAAGGAGCATTCTAACCTGTAGCTGGTTATAAACACTTCTAGAAAAGAATCACAGTAAAATTGTAACTGTCTGTGAGTGACAAAACACTTGAAAATTGTCGAGGTTAAAGATCTGATGAGAGTTCATCACAATGCTATTGACAAGGACATTTTGTTATTTCTGTGACATACAATAATTTAAGATAATAACTCAACAATAAAGGTATTGACAAATTTCTGTGAATATCATACAATTTCATGAACACATACAACACATAACCTGTATTGTATGTACAATCATCACTTTTTTGACAATGCTTCCCACGTAACTGAACATATTAAATAAGCCTAATTAGTTAAACATGTCTCTTTTTATAAGGAGAGAGACAAAACCTATGAGATTTTCCATAGGTCATCTAGGAAATCTCAACGTTAATCTGAGGTCAAAAAGACTCCTCTTAGACCTGATGTGGGAAAGCCGTCACAAAGGTCAGAAGGTTTGATCATCTGACTAAACAGGATCACAGGTCACTGGGAAACAATCCTTAGTTATCCATTTAACCAAAGTCACCATGAAAAAATCTCAAAGGCAAATAGAGAAAGCTACCTAGTTACAAAAATTCTTAGCTCTTACTGTTGAGAACACCTGGTTTTCAAAGAACTGATTGACATAATATGAAGCACAGGAAATTATTTTAAAACACAAAATCTTGTTTTCCCAGGCATATTACTTAAAAGGTAAAGAAAATCAACCTTTTTTACAATTTCTTATTAAGAGCAAACAAATAATCTAAGAAAACTTTGTTGTTTTAACAGAAAGAGAAAACCAAATAATGGTTTGACATCAGTGTGCTATTAATACTAAGGCAAATTTTTTTAATTAAAATAAATTAATTAATTAAAAACCCTACAAATAAATCCATCCAATCTTGGCCAGCTTTGACCAGAAAAGGAAAGATTCCTTTTCCAAGCTTCCTTTTCCACAAATCTTGTAAGGAATTTTTATTATCCATTCAGTTTTCATCCCACTCTTTTTTTCTTTCTCAGATAATTCTGAAACAACCAGTCCTTCTATTTTATAAAAATTACTCTTCCCCTTAACAAAAACATGTCCTTCATACCTTTCCTTATCAAAAATATATCTTACTTTCCTTTTATACAGTTTTTCTTTACCCTTATTATTCCTAGTAGTTTCATTTACATATATTGACTATATTTTTAACCATCAGAAACCCAAATTTTCAATGAAAAGTAGGAAGCAGGCAACTGTAAACTCACATACTATCATACTATAGCAAGTTTAAGATTATCATTTCATAATTCCTAGAGACATGTCTTTTTCATAGCACAACTTTATCATGTTTATTCACAGATTCAAGTATACTTAGCTTTTCTATACCATATTAAAAATGAAATGCCAAAAGTAAATAAATTAATGTTCAGCAATTAATGTTTCAATATTTTCTCTAATTTGGAAATGAGATCTAGATAGTCAATAAATATCCATGATTAACTTAACTTTGTACAGCTTGAACATTTAAAGTTATGAAAAGGTTTTTGAAACTATTTTTAAGGCGACCTAGTATAAAACAGAATGACGATTGAGAAGTTCATTTATAAACTTTTATCCCATTTATATCTATTTAATTTACTTGATCTTAACAATTACGTTTGAATTACTCATGAAAATTTCATAAGACATTAACTAAACAAAGCTAGCCATCCATCATCTTAACTTATTTTTTCCTTTTGACAAGTCAAGCAAGTATCAAAAAAAAAAAAATCACAGATGCAAACAACCTAAAGAACTTACAAAGTTATTCATATGATTCTTCCTTCTTTGTCTTTTTTAACTCCTGTGCTTCACACACATTAAGCAATTCCTTTTTATTACACAGTTTGTTTTTAGGTTAGATTTATAGTTTATAATCTTAAAACATCTAGCAGAAATAA